CCAGATTGAAGTGTGTGAGGTGTGTTTCTGTGGGAGGTTGGCCCAGATTGAAGTGAGTGAGGAGTGTTTCTGTGGGAGGTTGGTCCAGATTGAAGTGTGTGAGGAGTGTTTCTGTGGGAGGTTGGCCCAGATTGAAGTGAGTGAGAAGTCTTACTGTGGGATGTTGGCCCAGATTGAAGTGTGTGAGGAGTCTTACTGTGGGAGGTTGGCCCAGATTGAAGTGTGTGAGGAGTGTTTCTGTGGGAGGTTGGCCCAGATTGAAGTGTGTGAGGAGTGTTTCTGTGGGAGGTTGGTCCAGATTGAAGTGTGTAGGGAGTGTTTCTGTGGGAGGTTGGTCCAGATTGAAATGAGTGAGGAGTGTTTCCGTGGGAGGTTGGCCTAGATTGAAGTGTGTGAGGAGTGTTTCTGTGGGAGGTTGGCCCAGATTGAAGTGTGTGAGGAGTTTTTCTGTGCTAGGTTGGCCCAGATTGAAGTGTGTGAGGAGTGTTTCTGTGCTAGGTTGGTCCAGATTGAAGTGAGTGAGAAGTCTTACTGTGGGATGTTGGCCCAGATTGAAGTGTGTGAGGAGTGTTTCTGTGGGAGGTTGGCCCAGATTGAAGTGTATGAGGAGTGTTTCTGTGGGAGGTTGGCCCAGATTGAAGTGTATGAGGAGTGTTTCTGTGGGAGGTTGGCCCAGATTGTAGTGTGTGAGGAGTCTTTATGTAGGAGGAAACCAGAGTACATAGGGAAAACCTAAATCTCCCATGCTGTGATTCCCTGAACAATTTCTGAACAGTACTTGTTCTAAATCTCCCATTCTGTGATTCTCTGAACAGTCTTGGAACAGTACTTGTTCTAAATCTCCCATACTGTGATTCGCTGAACAGTCTTGTAACAGCACTCGTTCTAAATCTCCCATGCTATGATTCGCTGAAAAGTTTCTAAACAGTACTTGTGCTATATCTCACACCCTGTGATTCTATTAACAGTTTTTGAACAGCATCTTTCACACATCTCCCATGCTTTGATTCTCTGAACAGTTTTTGAACAGTACCTGTTACATATCTCCAATACTGTGATTCTTTGAACAGTTTCTGAACATCTCCCACCCTGTGATTACGTGAACATGTGCACCAGTAAAACAGAAGTTGTCCTGTTTATCTAGGCGTGCAGCCCTATTGATTTAAAAACACTCTGAGATATGAGAAGTTTCCCTGACCAGAACACATTGCCTTATACCCACTATCTCATCGCCTGTTTGTGTGAAACTGTGGTCTTTGTCAAATAATTACTTGTATACAACTTTCTAGATATTCCTGGTCACCATGCTACTTCTTTATAACTTTGGTTCTTGGTGCTGAGGGGTAGTCTTAGAACTGTGCTAATCATTTCAAAACACTACTGGCATACCTTGGTGTCAGTGTAATTAACTTAATGTAGTATTGTTGATAACAAGCAAATTAATTCCAATGATCTGGTGGGAAGGCGATCAGTGAGGATTGGACAGACATGTAATACCATTATGTGTGTAGGGAGTAGAAAAGTGCCAACATACTTCTGTGTTGTTACTGACTTAATGTATATACTAATGAATGATTGTGATGACTTTTATATAAACAATGTACCAATGAGTGGAATTTTACGACAAACAACCTGTAAATTTAAAGTAATACATAAACCAATGTGTTAGATCTGGAATTTTAAGGTCACAAAAACTAGCTACTAGACAGTCTCACAGGATCAAACTGGAGTATGAAGGGACTGGATTACACCACGGCTGGTTAATAAAGTGACTGGATTATAAAGGGTCTGAATTATACAGCGGCTGGGTCATAAATGGACTGGATTAAAAACAGACTGGATTATACGGTGACTGGATTATAAAGAGACTAGATTATTGGTGTAATAGGGTATAAACGACAACTGGATAAACCAAGGTTTGGATATTTAATAATCTATGTTACCATGAATAGGTACTGATATCAATGGGTGGGGAAGGAGTGGTTGTGATGATAAGAGGGGTATAAAGTTATAATTAGTGTCTGCCCTATTTCGTGATGTCCAGTGTTTGAGTTCCTGTCTAGTCCTGTACCGTCCTGTTATGATTGAGCAAATGCTGTCACTTTAACAACTTCATTTTCAGGGATTTTATCAACTATATACAATAGCTAATGTTTCAAGGTCAAGGTTATAGTGGCATGGAATCTGTCATTTCAATGATGTTATTTATTTTAAGGAATTTTATCAACTTATATATGCCACGGTCATGTATGAGAATACCTAGAATTATTTAATTTTCTCATTGTTCCAAGGTCAAGGTCATTGTTACTTTTTATTAGATCATCAACCAAATCAGTGACATCACTTTTGTCTTTATTTCTTGAAAGAATTTTGAATCAAAATAATGACGAAAATAAACTGTTGTTTTGAAAGCTATCTGACAGCTATCTGTTTGGGAAGAGCAGCTGTCAGCAAAATTCAAAAGAGTCGAGGGTCAAAGGTCAAAGCTAGACCAAGTCATTAACCAATAGTGTTTTTGTGTCTAGCATTTGTCAGCATAAATCATAGTAAATTATTCCATGTTAACAGCTGTATTTGTTCTGTTCATTAGAGGAAAAACATGAATGGATTTTAGAATCAAGGTATAAATGTCATTGAAATTCATGTAAGAAATATCATTTGATTAAAATTAGCATTTCTAGAATTCACATTATGCTTCAAATGTGACAGAATGAGAGTCATTCATCATACAGAGTAGTATAGACTAACATTAGCACAATTACCATAGTCATCATTAGTGTTAGCTTGCCTGTGTGAGGTGCTGGCAGTTTCCTAAACCAGATAGCTGTCTTTTAGACAATCATTTGATTGTTTCTCTTACATACAGAAATGTATTTATATCCCAATGAGATATATCAGCACTGGGAGATGGGTTGTGTCTGTACCCACTGTACGGAGTTAAAAGTAGGTGTCAGGATTTCTCTAGTTGTTTATGTATGATAGGAACAGGTACCTTTCCACGGTACTTTCCACAGTGCATTCCAGAAATGAAGTGTTTATCTTCCTGGAGCTGGGTGAGGTATAAAATCTGTTCTATGTTGAAACTTTATGCTGAGAATATTCCGGTTTCAGAAAGGTTTTTCCATCAGATAACTGAGATAAGTTGGAATGGGAAACTGATTTAGTAGGTGGTGTGACTACATAAGTTCTGTTACAACTTTTTATTATATGTTGTTTTCTTTCAGGATTGTACAAGATGCAAAAGTGAATAGTTCTTTTCAATGCAAATTTAGAATAAGATAGAGTCAAATAAAAGACTTAACACATTGTACAGCTGTTTTGTCCTTAAAGAACTGACCAAAGATGCTCTGGGCCTACACCATTGAAAGCAGGGAAGTGACTGAGACAAGTTGTAACAAGTCTATCTAACTTGTTATTTTTCAGGCGAGAGGTTTTGTACGTTGGCTGGGCTTATAATGTGGTTCCTACAACATCCTGGGTCATGTTGAGCTAAATTGATTAAAATGAATAATAGGACACCGAAAAAATGAAAGCATACAGATTAATTTCCATGTCACATGGTTATAGCATTTTATGATTCAGGGACACAGACAATAGTTTTATATATATTGTAACATGTTGGCTAATGTGTGTAAGCATTCTTGTATAGAAATAATATTCCAGAATAAATAACATTAGTATCGCACAGGTAATTCAGGAGGTTGCTGACTCAGCTTGGCATAATATCCACCTGGGTCAGTTAGTCAAGTGGAATACTCAGCCTGTAAACTCCTTCTGGATCTAAACGTACAGTACTTTTACTTTATTAGGTTGTTAGTGCCAATAGTGGTTGTGTGATAAAAAAATTTATTCTACTTTTACCGTTCGTTTTAATATCCTGTTTAGAAGTTTAACACAAAATGAAATATAAATATAGAATGTTTATTTATCTAAATCTAGATCAGCATCAAATTGTAAACTAGTTCCAAGATCTTACTTGTCAGTTACACAGTAGATAAAAACGTATACAACACCACGACGGTAGATAAAAACGTATACAACACCACGATGGTAGATAAAAACGTATACAACACCACTACGGTAGATAAAAACGTATACAACACCACGACAGTAGATAAAAACGTATACAACACCACCAAGGTAGATAAAAACATATACAACACCACGACAGTAGATAAAAACGTATACATCACCACAACAGTAGATGAAAATGTATACAACACCACGACAGTAGATAAAAACGTATACATCACCACAACATTAGATAAAAACGTATACAACACCACGACGGTAGATAAAAACATATACAACACCACGACGGTAGATAAAAATGTATACATCACCACAACATTAGATAAAAACGTATACAACGCCACGACGGTAGATAAAAACGTATACATCACCACAACAGTAGATGAAAACGTATACAACACCGCGATAGTAGATAAAAACGTATACATCACCACAACATTAGATAAAAACGTATACAACACCACGACGGTAGATAAAAACGTATACAACACCATGACGGTAGATAAAAACGTATACAACACCACGACAGTAGATAAAAATGTATACAACACCACAACATTAGATAAAAACGTATACAACACCACGACAGTAGATAAAAATGTATACAACACCACAACACCACGACAGTTGATAAAAATGTATACAACACCACAACACCACGACAGTTGATAAAAACATATACAACACCACAACACCACGACAGGTAATAAAAACATATACAACACCACGACGGTAGATAAAAAAGTATACAACACCACGACGGTAGATAAAAATGTATGCAACACCACGACGGTAGATAAAAACGTATACAACACCACGACAGTAGATAAAAATGTATACAACACCAAGACAGTTGATAAAAACGTATACAACACCATGATGGTAGATAAAAATGTATACAACATCACGACAGTAGAATAAGCTTATATATATCTTACTAAGATTTGGTTTTTGTTGTATCTTTCCAGATTGAGGAACTTCGAAAACGCCAGGTAAAGTACACCTTTGGGACAGATGGAGAGGATGTTGCCAAAAATGCCCTGAAGAAACTATTGTTCGATTGTGAGAAGCACATCGACAAAATGGCTACCTCTCCTAAAAGCACAAGCGGGACCATTAATTTCTTTCCCAATCCAATGGTGAGTGTATAAATCCATGGAAATGTAGAGAATGGAGGAAAGTTCTGTTGGAGAAAGAACATCCATTTTGAGAGATATGAAATATCCCCTGTTAAAGAATTTCTGTGTCTTTTACCAACGGACTAATAGTATGTTACCTAGATTCTGCCAGTCTCTTTCTGTATCACTGTCATCACTCTTAGAAAGTCATCGAAGTACACATTATCAGCATCAGCATTAACAATATCTCACTTGAGTCTTATTTTGGTTATCTAAGGTCAAGGTCATCTAAATATGGTTGTGTATAGGTCAGCAGGCATTGACACCAATACAAAATGTTGGAATCACAGTGGTGATGTGCTAGAAAATATCTTTGGTTTACTTAGAAGTGTCAATTCTGAAAGGAGTGACAGGAATACAGAATTTAATGGTAGGAATTTACTATAGAAAACTTTATGTGTTTAATCAAAATTTTTAGGGCAATAATCCTGAAGAAATTGACAACATCTAGAAATATATACTGTATTGTAAGGAAAATAAAGAATACATAGTGTATCCTAACATGAACAAGGTTTAATTTATTTGAATGGTGTGTACTTATTTTTCCTAACAGAAAAGTTTTTATTAAATTTCTGGTAGATTTGATCAGAGACGTACTCTGATTTGATAAAAGAGTTATTTGGGATTTTATTATCTTCCTCATAAAAAGAAGAATAAAGATGATTTTCGGCCATAAGTGATGCCTTTAATTGGGTATTCTGGACAAATTGAGCAGAAGGAGAGGTGATGTAGCTGTTGTTAGATTACCCAGCAGGGGTTCGTACCACAAGGAGTTGACATCATTACTGGGCCTTACCTGTACAGTTCATTCACACCTGTCCGCAGGTATGAACTAAGAATACAGATACATTCCAACTATGTCAGGTGTTTTACCTATACTGGGATTATTTGATGAGTAAACAGGACATTGTGTTTCTGTTGAGAAATATTCATTATGAAAATGATACCTGTTCATTGTTATCACAGTATTTGGAAGTGAAAACTACATGATATGTTAAGGATGGACTATATTTAATGCAAGTGGATTAGATAGAGAGAGATGGAGACAGCTGATGATCCGGTACGGTGAATATTTATCAAAACAATCAAAAATTGTGTTTAACAGATTGAGGAGTTACAGATTGACTCATTGTTGTTTATTGTGTTAATAGATTGAGGAGTTAGAGATTGACTAAATGTTGTTTATCATGTTTAACAGATTGAGGAGTTAGAGATTGACTAAATGTTGTTTATTGTGTTTAATAGATTGAGGTATTAGAGATTGACTAAATGTTGTTTATTGTGTTTAATAGATTGAGGTGTTAGAGATTGACTAAATGTTGTTTATTGTGTTTAATAGATTGAGGTGTTAGAGATTGACTAAATGTTGTTTATTGTGTTTAACAGATTGAGGTGTTAGAGATTGACTAAATGTTGTTTATTGTGTTTAACAGATTGAGGTGTTAGAGATTGACTAAATGTTGTTTATTGTGTTTAACAGATTGAGGTGTTAGAGATTGACTAAATGTTGTTTATTGTGTTTAACAGATTGAGGTGTTAGAGATTGACTAAATGTTGTTTATTGTGTTTAACAGATTGAGGTGTTAGAGATTGACTAAATGTTGTTTATTGTGTTTAACAAATTGAGGTGTTAGAGATTGACTAAATGTTGTTTATTGTGTTTAACAAATTGAGGTGTTAGAGATTGACTAAATGTTGTTTATTGTGTTTAACAGATTGAGGTGTTAGAGATTGACTAAATGTTGTTTATTGTGTTTAATAGATTGAGGTGTTAGAGATTGACTAAATGTTGTTTATTGTGTTTAATAGATTGAGGAGTTAGAGATTGACTAAATGTTGTTTATTGTGTTTAATAGATTGAGGTGTTAGAGATTGACTAAATGTTGTTTATTGTGTTTAATAGATTGAGGTGTTAGAGATTGACTAAATGTTGTTTATTGTGTTTAATAGATTGAGGAGTTAGAGATTGACTAAATGTTGTTTATTGTGTTTAATAGATTGAGGTGCTAGAGATTGACTCATTGGTGTTTATTTTGTTCAACAGATTGAGGAGTTAGAGATTGAGATGAAGAAACTACAACAGACTAATGATACTAACCTACAAGATATGGCTGACCAGGTATGTATACTGTCCAGTAATTTATCATTGTACTTATAAACAAATTTATGTGTTGATTATACAATCAGAGTGGAACAAGAACATGCAAATAATTAAACACAGATATATGTATTGCTATTATTTTTTGTACATGAGAATGCTGTAAGTGTACAACACCATTAGATATGGTCATCACTGATTTTAGTTTAGGATGTAGGCAAATTAGTATACAACAGAAACACAATTAGTAGTAATTGTTACACAACCTTCTCAAACGTAGGTAATGGTCATATAAAGGATCATAGTAATGTAGGTCATTAGTCCTGAGGTCAAGGTCAGATACTGGAGGTCAAGGCAATAGGTGAAGGCCATGTACTGGATGTCAAAGCTAAGTTCTGAATGTCAAAGAAAAGTTATGGAGGTGAAGATCAAACACACACTGAGATTATGGTAATTTACTAATGTTTTACATTTCCATTTTTCATTTTAGCTTAAGAAGATCAAATCTTTGGAGCAGAAACTGAAACCTTCTCAAGAGAAAAACAGGAAATTCCTTGAGAAAAATATGGAGCTGACCATGCAGAACAGAAGTTTGAAAGACCAGATCCAGGTTCTGACTGATGAGAACAAAAAAATTGTAAGCAGAAATAAATTGATGTTTTGTTTGATTTGTAATAAAGGTGTATAAATATTAAAGGGAAGTATCTATTTACTATCTGTACCTAGCAGTAGTCATAATACAACAGAGACGATAATCCTCATATCTAACAGTGTTCTGTAGGTGATCACAGAATTTTACAATATTTTATCTTTTGTCTGCGGAGAACTTATTTGTTGATGAAGATTTGGTTCATATTATCTCTTTGTAAGTTATAATCATCATTTCTGGTCACTACTTATAATACACTATTTCTCCATGTTGCCTTTTAGAAGGAACAATGTGAACATTCCAAAAAACGAGTGAAGTCACTTTCCCAGCAACTAAATCATGAAAAAATGGAGAGAGGGACAGCTGAAATCAAAGCACAAGAATTGGACCGTTGTAAAATACAGATCACAGAACTTACAAAAACAGTCACAGCACTCAGACAAACCTGTATTGTGAGTATAACAAAGTACTTTTTTCTGTACGGTTTGCATGAATTATGCCATGGTGCAGTGTCCATTGGACAGCGTCCGTTGTCCATTTGTCGTCTGTCATCCTTTTTGATATTTAGATGGTAAGTTCCAAGGATGAAGCCCATCAAAGTTTGAAAAAAATAATTACCTTGACTTATATTCAAAGTCACAGGGGTTAAATTTCTTAAATTCTTTGAACATTCATGAACTAAAGGCTTAGAGGCAAGATATTTGGCTGTTGTATTCTTAGGATGCAGCCTGACAGGGTAGGGGACGAACCAAGGATCCAAACTTTTATTTGTTGGGAAACAAAAAAGACAATTTGAAACCTTGGACAAAAAAAATATGATCATTCCTTCAATACCTTACGTTGCTTTGAGGATATTTTCTTTACGCTTAATTTCCATGTAATTACAGAGGTGAGTTCCTGTTGGAATGGTAGACAATAAATACTGTATTGTTTCTATATTGTATTGTTTCTATACTGTATTGTTTCTATATTTTATTGTTTCTATATTGTATTGTTTCTATATTGTATTGTTTCTATACTGTATTGTTTCTATATTGTATTGTTTCTATATTGTATTGTTTCTATATTGTATTGTTTCTATATTGTATTGTTTGAGCTCTGTATCATATGAACATGGTATAGTTCAGGTACTGTATTGTTTGATTACTCTATTGTTTGAACACTGTTGACCTTTAGTACTGGTTTTCCAGGAAAAAGACCGACGTATAGAATTGATACAACACAGAAAAAGGAGGAAACGGTGGATGAGGACACAAGCTATAGATAAGGTAGGAACATACAGTGATTGTCACAGCTTATGTCATCGTATCTTCTTGAGTACTCAAAATATCAGTTATCCAGGTAGTCCCCCAAAAAGTGCAGAGTTGAAATATATACATATTTCAGAAGTACATCTGTATGTGTCCATTTCTGAAGCTTGAAGATTTCTATAATGACAATTTCATAGAATTGGACACAATACAATGATTCAGATTCTTGTAGCAGTGATATAAAGGATAAAACATCAGAGGAAATCATTTTGCTCCCTGCTAAAAATCGTCATACACTTGCACCAATTTTTCAATTGAAATTTGCTTGAGTCAGATTTAAATCCACTTCTGCAAACAATGTGACCTTGACATCACCTGTAACCTTGACACAATCATGACCTTGACATTACCTATAACCCTGCCACCACATGTGACCTTGACATTTCTTGTAACCATGTTACCGCTTGTGACCTTTTCATCACCTGTAACCTTGACACAATCATGACCTTGACATCACCTATAACCCTGCCACTACATGTGACCTTGACATTTCTTGTAACCTTGATACCGCTTGTGACCTTTACATCACCTGTAACCTTGCCACCACATGTTACCTTGACATCACCTATAACCCAGCCACCACATGTGACCTTGGCATTTCTTGTAACCTTGACACCACTTGTGACCCTGACATCACCTTTAACCTTACCAAATGTTACCTTGACATCACCTGTAGCCTTGCCACATCTTGTGACCTTGACATCACATTTTAACTTGCCACCAAATGTGACCTTGACAGGAACGTAGACAATAACACATTTTGTGACCTTACAAAATCAGGAACTTAGTTGCATAGCAATAGCAAGGAGATTAAAATAGTGCTGCATGTAGCTTTTGTTTTGTATAATGATATATTCCTGTAAGGAAAGAGCCCAAAGTTACGATCTTCAGATCTACCACTGTTTTATTTTGACTTTGTGGAGTTACCAGGTATGTTGTTGGAGTCTCATTTTGTGGTAACATGTGGTTTGACTGTACTGTCCTCACCTAGCCTGCTTAGTTAGTAGCACTTGTTTACGTTACAGAGTCCTGGTGTCAAGGAAACGTTTTTCGGGTATGACGAGGACGATACGTCTGTTGCGTCCGTCGACTCGGAGACGTCATTTTCATCCATGTCCCATGGCACTCTTTCAGATGAAGATCTGTGTGATGAGGTTTGTACTGCAAAAATAATTACATTACTGATGTTTGTGGTCATGATAGCTTAAACACATCAAAAATATCACTGACTACAGATAACATAAAACAGGAGAATGTCTGTGTATTTGTCATCACCAGTCACTTAACAGCACTTTAACCATTCATACAGATGCATGTTGGGTGATTACCACAAGTAGGAACAGACTGAAGACATGTCTGATTCTTTACACACTTTTGGTTGGAAACATTACATGCATGTTTTTGCCACTTGTACAGAAAATGTTAATGAAAAAGATATAGGTTAATGGAAGTATTTTCCACATTAGGGACATAGCTCTTTGTTCTTTGATTTTGTCTTTTTGATTAGTTATGATGGTGTCATCATGTGTGTAGTTCGGGTAAGGAGCAGTTCTATTAGGGGAGGAGAGGTGTGAGAGTGCTGTATGTGTGTGGTTGGGGTAGGGACAGGTCTGTTAGGGGAGGAGAGGTGTGAGAGTGCTATTTGTGTGTGGTTGGGGTAAGGAGCAGTTCTATTAGGGGAGGAGAGGTGTGAGAGTGCTGTATGTGTGTGGTTGGGGTAGGGATAGGTCTGTTTGGGGAGGAGAGGTGTGAGAGTGCTGTTTGTGTGTGGTTGGGGTAAGGAGCTGTTCTATTAGGGGAGGAGAGGTGTGAGAGTGCTGTATGTGTGTGGTTGGGGTAGGGACAGGTCTGTTTGGGGAGGAGAGGTGTGAGAGTGCTGTTTGTGTGTGGTTGGGGTAAGGAGCAGTTCTATTAGGGGAGGAGAGGTGTGAGAGTGCTGTATGTGTGTGGTTGGGGTAGGGACAGGTCTGTTAGTGGAGGAGAGGTGTGAGAGTGCTGTATGTGTGTGGTTGGGTTAGGGACAGGTCTGTTAGGGGAGGAGAGGTGTGAGAGTGCTGTATGTGTGTGGTTGGGGTAGGGACAGGTCTGTTTTGGGAGGAGAGGTGTGAGAGTGCTGTATGTGTGTGGTTGGGTTAGGGACAGGTCTGTTAGTGGAGGAGAGGTGTGAGAGTGCTGTATGTGTGTGGTTGGGTTAGGGACAGGTCTGTTAGGGGAGGAGAGGTGTGAGAGTGCTGTATGTGTGTGGTTGGGGTAGGAACAGGTCTGTTAGGGGAGGAGAGGTGTGAGAGTGCTGTATGTGTGTGGTTGAGGTAGGAGCAGGTCTGTTAGAGGAGGAGAGGTTTGAGAGTGCTGTATGTGTGTGGTTGGGGTAGGGACAGGTCTGTTAGGGGAGGAGAGGTGTGAGAGTGCTGTGTGTGTGTGGTTGGGGTAGGGACAGGTCTGTTTGGGGAGGAGAGGTGTGAGAGTGCTGTATGTGTGTGGTTGGGGTAGGGACAGGTCTGTTTGGGGAGGAGAGGTGTGAGAGTGCTGTATGTGTGTGGTTGGGTTAGGGACAGGTCTGTTAGGGGAGAAGAGGTGTGAGAGTGCTGTATATTTGTGGTTGGGGTAAGGAGCAGTTCTTTTAGGGGAGGAGAGGTGTGAGAGTGCTGTATGTGTGTGGTTGGGGTAGGGACAGGTCTGTTAGGGGAGGAGAGGTGTGAGAGTGCTGTATGTGTGTGGTTGGGGTAGGGACAGGTCTGTTAGGGGAGGAGAGGTGTGAGAGTGCTGTATGTGTGTGGTTGAGGTAGGAGCAGTTCTATTAGGGGAGGAGAGGTGTGAGAGTGCTGTATGTGTGTGGTTGGGTTAGGGACAGGTCTGTTAGTGGAGGAGAGGTTTGAGAGTGCTGTATGTGTGTGGTTGGGTTAGGGACAGGTCTGTTAGTGGAGGAGAGGTGTGAGAGTGCTGTATGTGTGTGGTTGGGGTAAGGAGCAGTTCTATTAGGGGAGGAGAGGTGTGAGAGTGCTGTATGTGTGTGGTTGGGGTAGGGACAGGTCTGTTAGGGGAGGAGAGGTGTGAGAGTGCTGTTTGTGTGTGGTTGGGGTAGGAACAGGTCTGTTAGTGGAGGAGAGGTGTGAGAGTGCTGTATGTGTGTGGTTGGGGTAAGGAGCAGTTCTATTAGGGGAGGAGAGGTGTGAGAGTGCTGTATGTGTGTGGTTGGGGTAGGGACAGGTCTGTTAGGGGAGGAGAGGTGTGAGAGTGCTGTTTGTGTGTGGTTGGGGTAGGAACAGGTCTGTTAGGGGAGGAGAGGTGTGAGAGTGCTGTTTGTGTGTGGTTGGGGTAGGAACAGGTCTGTTAGGGGAGGAGAGGTGTGAGAGTGCTGTATGTGTGTGGTTGGGATAATACACAGCATCTGACTCAAAGTCAATGGGTGGGCTTATTACAGGAAAATAAGCCAAGGGCAGACATGCTATCTCCAATTCAATGTCAGGAAATGGGCATGTTACAGGAAATAAGCTCAGGAGGTTATTACAGGACGACGAAATAGTATTTGTTGTTAGATATCAACTGACTTATTGCCAAATAGATATGGGAAGCTAACTATTCAAGGTTGGAGGTAGGTTTCTCAAGCAAAACTGTATTAGTAGTAAATATCACGTTATTTGTCACAGAGAATTATTAAGTCAAATTTTAAAACTAGGTCAAGATGAATTTGGTTATACTAATTTGACCTTGATTTTTAGTTGTCAAGGGAAGAGATAGAGACTCAGTATCAACAGCTGATGAAGGAACACTTGGAGCTACAGAGATTACATTCCCTTCTGCAGACACAGACTGGCAGTCATCTGGATCCACAGAGGGAAAACAAGGTCTGTCTCCTCAAGACATTTGTCAGGAATTCACTCAACAACATTTAACTCAATAGGACTGTTCATTAGACATTTGTTAGGAATTCACTCAACAACATTTAACTCAATAGGACTGTTCATTAGACATTTGTTAGGAATTCACTCAGCAACATTTAACTCAATAGGACTTCATTAGACATTTGTTAGGAATTCACTCAACAACATTTAACTCAATAGGACTGTTCATTAGACAGTTGTCAGGAATTCTCTCAGCAACATTTAACTCAATAGGCCTGTTCATTAGACATTTGTTAGGAATTCACTCAGCAACATTTAACTCAATAGGACTGTTCATTAGACATTTGTCAGGAATTCACTCAGCAACATTTAACTCAATAGGACTGTTCATTAGACATTTGTCAGGAATTCACTCAGCAACATTTAACTCAAAAGGCCTGTTCGTTAGACATTTGTTAGGAATTCACTCAGCAACATTTAACTCAATAGGACTGTTCATTAGACATTTGTCAGGAATTCACTCAGCAACATTTAACTCAATAGGACTGTTCATTAGACATTTGTCAGGAATTCACTCAGCAACATTTAACTCAATACAAATAAAAATGTTTTCCTTCACAGTTGTTTTAGCTGTGTGAAATCCTTTCATGATCAACTGTATCATATTGAACAGATATATTCTCTGATTCACATTAAGTGTGGAATGAGTTTCTCTGATGTCTTTAAATGATTTGGTATGACAAGTAAGTAAACAACTGTATCTATTTGACAGTTACGGACTCAGCTGCAGTCAGATCTGTTCGCTGCACAGTGTAAGATTGAAGAGCTACAAGCACTACTGCGACAACAGGATGAGGTATATACTATACAAGTGCATGTGTCGCCTACTGCATGTGGATCAAACTCCAGGTACTAACACCATCATATATATCTAATGTAATTTCCCTCCCCCTCCAACCTGATTTCTGTCCAATTTTACAGGTGAGTACCATATTTTCTGGCTTATGAGCCACAACCTTTTTTTACCTTGTGGGACAGACATGTGGCCTAAATACCAGTATTTCTTATTCATAGACTAAAACAAAAATCGAGAGAAGGAAATAATAAGAAAAAATTTGATCATTTAGTTACTAAGTTTTTCAGGAGTACCTGCCCATCACTTGTCTGTGACTGATATAGATTGTGTTGGACCATGTATTCCTGCACAGGATGATTTGAAAATTGCATTAAAGATAACATTCTCGTGGAATTATACATTTTGATATGAATCCCAGTAACATCTGCTTGACTTCTTTTTGGTTACTTAACAGCAATTGCAAGAAGGCATAGTAGAACTATGGCAGCTTGAGATCGATAGGTCATCAGTTGATGAGGTCAAACTCTAGAATAGCTGCCATGTTCGTTAATGATATAAATTGATATAAATGGCTTTATGCTACTAAGAAGAAATATTATGGGATTATAGGAACTTTGTCAGCATGCAAGAGTATTTGTTAATATTCAACAGTACAGACACTGGTGGAGAGATTGTTTATGGTAAAACATACTACTGTACGTAATGTTACAAGTAGGACTTATGTATATTGTGTGAAGACAATATTTGAAGGCCCCAAATAAATTCAATATTTTATGTATCTAAAATGACCAGAGTAATTGAAAAAATAAAGTGCTGAATTATAGTCAACATAGTGGTTATCATATCTTAAGAAAAGATTGTCGCTTAGTTTCTGGTGTGGTTAATATGTAAAATATATGAAATATAATATTTTATAATATATTTAAAATTTTTGAAAATTGATAAAGATTGGCTCTGCGGTCTATATGCATGTGACTTATAAGCTGGAAAATATGGTAACTAATTACAGATGAGCTCCCTCCACTCATAACTTGAGATATCTTTCATCATTAGAGGTGAAATTGAGGTAGACTATAGTTTCCCACTTTGTTTGTTTATCACAGGGACAAAGTTTGTCAATGCTCCAGCGTCTTCATTCCATGGCTGATGTTCAGCAAAATTACCACACTTGAAAAGCATCAAATTATCTTGAACAAAGTTGAGTTTTAAAGTTGTTGATTCAAGGTCAAGGTCACTTACTATTTTTAGAAATTCCTTCTCAATGCTTTAGTGGCTTCATTCAGAAACTGTATTGTCAGATTATCATACTTATTTATCATATTGTACCATTAAAATTAATTCAAAACTAGTAATACACTTTTCTTTATTCCAAATTAACATGAAACAGCACCATCTTTATAAATCATTACTGTGTACTAGGTACTGGGGGACATAATCTCCCTGTATCATACTGCATGTATGATAACATCTTCCTCTCTTGAGTTAACTTCTGAGTTACCTCCCTTTGTTACTGGTGAGCCTTCACCAACACCACTGGAAATGGAAATTTACCTCCCATAAATTCGAGTGTTGTTATTTAGATCTCACCTCTGTATATGTTTACATATAGTCTACTTAATATACATCACCTATATCTATGTACATTGTAGTGTCAAGAATCTTATATCTACAACTTGTTGCACATAATATTATATTATATCTACATCATGTTGTACATAATTTTGTATCTATATCCTACTGTACAAAATAACTGTCTGCATGATTTGTACTCTATTCATGTATCTCAGCCTAAAATTCTTAGATTCATCAGTTTTGATATAGCATTAAAATGTAAAATTCTAGGTTTAATTTTTCTTTTTTAAATTATATTAATTTGAAAAATTTTAAGATTTTCATTTGTCATTTAAATTAATCATTGAAAGTTTAAACAGTTCAAAAAATGTTTACTACTTTAGTCTTTTTCAAATTAAAGTATGATGTATTTAGTAAGTAAATTTCAAGCATTTATTTTATGTTTTGGAACATAATTACATAATATTACAGGAGATCCACAGTAACAGAAACGAGAATAAGGAACTGTTGACCAAAACCAGGAGCTTGGAACAAAGGGTAGGTATATATACTAGTGTTGTACTCTAATGTATAAGTCAGGGCTGACACTAGGGACCAGACTGCTCGGGTAATAATATTCTAGGTTTGATTCTTGCTTTTTACACTTCTGTTGTTTTATTCCCACAAAGTTTAAGTAAGGAGAGTATACAATGTATACATTATAAATTCTATTTGTAGACATTTCTAGATCTTTGTCATTGTTCCAGTAGCACTTTGCAATTTTCATAGGAGGACCACATTGGTGTGAAATCTCTATTGTCATTGGGATCAAAGTTATGCAGACACAGATGTAGAGACATTGTTTAAGGAACACAGATGTAGAGACATTGTTTAAGGAACACAGATATAGAGACATTGTTTAAGGATCACAGATGTAGAGACATTGTTTAAGGATCACAGATGTAGAGACATTGTTTAAGGAACACAGATGTAGAGACATTGTTTAAGGAACACAGATATAGAGACATTGTTTAAGGAACACAGATGTAGAGACATTGTTTAAGGAACACAGATGTAGAGACATTGTTTAAGGAACACAGATGTAGAGACATTGTTTAAGGAACACAGATGTAGAGACATTGTTTAAGGATCACAGATGTAGAGACATTGTTTAAGGACAACAGAGAAATGAGCAGACCTTGTTTTAGGATCTCTGACAGATGTGTAGACAGTATTTTAGGATTGGAGTTAGATGGGCAGAAATCGCTCGAGGGTCCCAGATAATGATGTAGTAATTGTGTGAGGATCAAAGATAGATCTGTAGTCATTGTTTAGGATCATTCTGTTCCTGGATTTTACAACTATTTTATGGTGACAGATGTGCTGCTTTAAAACTGTGTTATTTATCCATTAGAACATGCATCTAGAGAAGGCACAGACTCGACTGGAGCTGGAGGTGACAGAAGCCCGTGAGGTTGCGGAGAATCTGGAATTCCGCATCGTAGAGCTAGAATCACAGGAAGTAAGTGTTTGAACATGTTTTGGTTGAAAATGCGAGTGATGTGTAAGTGATGACACTTTCAAATTACTATCAGTTGGACAGAATCTGTATATGACTTCAGTTGTTGTATGGATTTAAAATGTATAAGCAAAGCCTGCCCCTTATAAAAGGTATTACCAAGCTAACACATGTGATAAAACCTCCTCTTTGATAAACTAGTTTGATTTTCACAAAAAAGACCATATATCAGTAGACTATACATGTATATGTGATAAACTGTAGGATATATTTGATAGTGGATAATATGCTGACATTCATGGTACAACCTGATATTAATTAAGTCCCCCAAGTGTCCATAACTATGTGTGAAACAGAAGTAATGTTGTCACTGTGACCATGTTGTAGAACAGTTACCTCCCTTTAATCTATATCTACTGTAAAGGATATGAATTTCTGAGGTGATGGACAACTTTTATCAAAGAAATAATAATTCATTCTTGCTTGAAAAGTGATATATAAAGCTGCTGATTACTATTGATGTAGACACAAAAAAATTCTTCATGTAATTTAATTTCTATGTATGTTTCTTTCTAGTTTTTTTCTTGCAGCAGAAATATATGTAATAATTTTCTAAGGGAAAAATGAAAGAATATGACATTTTAGAGCATAAATACTTTCCACTTCACACTTTAATATGTCTATATGTTCAACATCTATCATTATACAGAGTCTAATATATACATGTCCTGTACAAAGTATGGGCGGTAAAAGTTCTGGTTAACTGCTCAGATAGAAAAAACAGAACTAATATTATTTTGAAAGAATTATTTTCTTTCCCTTTTATTTCCAGATTGTTTGATTTTGATGAATCTAGGTCATAATTTATACAATAAAATAAACCCTGAAGTTCAAATGTGGTCAGTATCTGTGCATAACTGATTGACAAATTAAAATGTAATTACAGTTTCTACCCCAGTAAAGCAAATTCTTTAAAATCACATTTTCCCAGAGGAATGATGGAAATTGGCCCAAATTTGGTCTGAAGCATTCTCAGGTGAAGATAGTCAGCTTTGTATAAACACTGAGTCTTGAGCCCCCTGGACTGAACAGCAGGGCCCAAGGGGAAATAGAGCAAATTACCGAAATCCATACTCCTCTGGCAGGAATGATTGGATTTTGTCCAGATTTGGTCTGAAGTATCTTGGGTGAATGGGAATCAATTTTGTTTAAATAGAGTTAATCCTTTAAAATCAGTCTGTTATGAAGTAATGCATGAAATCTCTCTCATCTGTATACATCAATCTTATTATGTATATATTCATCTGGCATATCCTATATGCTTTGCTGCATTTGAAAGTGAATTGAACTTGAACTTGACATTAATAGAGAGGGTATTATCTAGCTTGTTAGTGTTACTCTCTTCCTATTGACAAGTCACAGAAAAATAAACTGCCTTAAATATCAGTGTAAGATTCAGAAAACACAACAGAAGGTTGGGAGACTATCTCTGTGTAGTTACATCTCACACTGTTTACTGCACCCAGTGATTGATGGCTGCACAGCTGAAATGTTCATTTCATCAATTACAAAACTGTAGGCAACAATTGAATCAAACTTTGTACCTAATTTTCACACATCACTTCAGCATTTTGTCTGTCTACTGGTCATACTGGCTTGGCTTTGAGGAACAAAGGAAGAGTTTTTACAAAATCATTTAAAAAAAGTGTGAAGGTTATCAGATCAAATTCCATACATTGGTTACTGATAAACAGTGGCATGCAGGAAATTTATCAGTTATTGGGGAGGGTCCAGGTTAGATGTATCTGATGACTTTTTGATCATCAGAAATCTTCTGAGGGAAGAGATGGTAATTGATCTTATTTATAACAGGTAACTTTCTGTAAAAAATATCTTAAGTACAGTTGACCTCAAGTCCAGGGGACTATCTGTAAAATTTATATTCAGTAAATCTGACCCTTAGAAGAGGTGACCTTTTGTCAAACTCATCTGTGGCACAGCTGACCTTCAGATAAACTTCTGTAACACTCATTTTCATGTGACCTTTTGCAAAGATGGCATTCAATAAAAATGACCATCAGTACAAGTGACCTTCAGTCCATGTGACCCTTAGTAGGTGTGCATTTCTGTACAAATGATATTCAGCACAGGTGATATTTAGTACAATTGACCTTTTGAACATATGACATTCAGTACAGGTGACTTTCACTATAGGTTACTCCATACAGCCGATCTTTAGTACAGGTCACCTTCAGTCCTGATGACCATCAATACAGGTGATCTTCACAATTTTGCAAACAAAGGGCCTCTTGCAAGTTGTTCAGTGAAGTAGTCACCATCTGCATTAAGAGAGATGCTGCATTAAAATCAACTTTAATGTTGATAGGACAAACAACTCAACAAATACACAATAAACGTTCGGCATGGTTCAGTCCAACTATTAAAGCCTGCCCCTGGTTCCTAAATCCCTGCTGTTGTAATTATATCATTACCATACAGGCTCTATATAGGGAGCTTTAGATGGCAGCTTCCCGTACTGATAAGAAACATCCAAAATTTAACAGGAAGTTATTCTTTATTTTTGCTAAATATACAGGTGCTATCTCTATTGGCAGTTCACCAGTATCTCTGCTGAGCGTGTCTGAAATCAGCATTGAAGTATTTCCTTTTTTTCTCTGCATTCTTCAGAGGTTCTCTGTAGAACACTTGAATTCTGCATATGATGTATGATGTAGGTAATTTTTCACTGGTGTCTCCTGGGTAAAGATTCTTTGATATTACTTATTTAATTTTGATTCCCATCCAATTCTCCTGTGGTCCTATGAAGTATGCACTCCTGCCATCAAGCAAATGAGAGCTCTGTCTGGGAGGTTGTCCTGTAACTATGGTATCTCTGATATAAGTTAATGTGGACAATACCTGTCCTGTAACTATGGTATCTGATATAAGTTAATGTAGACAGTACGTATACTGTAACTATGGTATCTGATATAAGTTAATGTAGACAGTACCTGTCCTGTAACTGTGGTATCTGATATAAATTAATGTAGACAGTACCTTTCCTGTAACTGTGGTATCGCTGATATAAGTTAATGTAGACAGTACCTGTCCTGTAACTGTGGTATCTGATATAGGTTAATGTAGACAGTACCTGTCGTGTAACTATGGTATCTCTGATATAAGTTAATTTAGACAGTACCTGTCCTGTAACTGTGGTATCTGATATAAGTTATTGTAGACAATATCTGTCCTGTAACTGTGGTATCTGATATAAGTTAATGTAGACAGTACCTGTCCTGTAACTGTGGTATCTGATATAAGTTAATGTAGACAGTACCTGTCCTGTAACTGTGGTATCTCTGATATAAGTTAATGTAGACAGTACCTGTCCTGTAACTATGGTATCTGATATAAGTTAATGTAGACAGTACCTGTCCTGTAACTGTGGTATCTGATATAAGTTAATGTAGACAGTACCTGTCCTGTAACTATGGTATCTGATATAAGTTAATGTAGACAGTACCTCTCCTGTAACTGTGGTGTCTCTGATATAAGTTAATGTAGACAGTGCCTGTCCTGTAACTGTGGTATCTGATATAAGTTAATGTAGACAGTACCTGTCCTGTAACTGTGGTGTCTCTGATATAAGTTAATGTAGACAGTACCTGTCCTGTAACTGTGGTATCTGATATAAGTTAATGTAGACAGTACCTGTCCTGTAACTGTGGTATCTGATATAAGTTAATGTAGACAGTACCTGTCCTGTAACTGTGGTATCTGATATAAGTTATTGTAGACAGTATCTGTCCTGTAACTGTGGTATATCTGATATAAGTTAATGTAGACAGTACCTGTCCTGTAACTATGGTATCTGATATAAGTTAATGTAGACAGTACCTGTCCTGTAACTGTGGTGTCTCTGATATAAGTTAATGTAGACAGTACCTGTCCTGTAACTGTGGTATCTGATATAAGTTAATGTAGACAGTACCTGTCCTGTAACTGTGGTATCTGATATAAGTTATTGTAGACAGTATCTGTCCTGTAACTGTGGTATATCTGATATAAGTTAATGTAGACAGTACCTGTCCTGTAACTGTGGTGTCTCTGATATAAGTTAATGTAGACAGTACCTGTCCTGTAACTATGGTATCTGATATAAGTTAATGTAGACAGTACCTGTCCTGTAACTATGGTATCTCTGATATAAGTTAATGTAGACAGTACCTGTCCTGTAACTATGGTATCTCTGATATAAGTTAATGTAGACAGTACCTGTCCTGTAACTGTGGTATCTCTGATATAAGTTAATGCAGACAGTACCTGTCCTGTAACTATGGTATCTGATATAAGTTAATGTAGACAGTACCTCTCCTGTAACTGTGGTGTCTCTGATATAAGTTAATGTAGACAGTGCCTGTCCTGTAACTGTGGTATCTCTGATATAAGTTAATGTAGACAGTACCTGTCCTGTAACTGTGGTATCTGATATAAGTTAATGTAGACAGTACCTGTCCTGTAACTGTGGTATCTGATATAAGTTAATGTAGACAGTACCTCTCCTGTAACTGTGGTATCTCTGATATAAGTTAATGTAGACAGTGCCTGTCCTGTAACTGTGGTATCTCTGATATAAGTTAATGTAGACAGTACCTGTCCTGTAACTATGGTATCTGATATAAGTTAATGTAGACAGTACCTGTCCTGTAACTGTGGTATATCTGATATAAGTTAATGTAGACAGTACCTGTCCTGTAACTATGGTATCTGATATAAGTTAATGTAGACAATACCTGTCCTGTAACTGTGGTGTCTCTGATATAAGTTATTGTAGACAGTACCTGTCCTGTAACTGTGGTATCTCTGATATAAGTTAATGTAGACAGTACCTGTCCTGTAACTATGGTATCTGATATAAGTTAATGTAGACAGTACCTGTCCTGTAACTGTGGTATCTCTGATATAAGTTATTGTAGACAGTACCTGTCCTGTAACTGTGGTAT